TCCTCCTCGGTCATGCACACTATATTTTAAAAAAATCTATTTCAGTGCTTGTAAGAATGCCTGCAATGGCCTGCCTCACAGTGGGCCTGAGGTGTGAGGGAGGTGGGGCTGGCACCAGAATCAGCAGGTGGGTTTGGATTTGAGCCAGGGAAAAGCAAGAAGACCTGGTGGGCCACACTCAGGTCCCTGGGAAGGAATGGAGCCCCAGGAGATGAGGCTGGAGAGGATTGGAAACCGTGTCTATGAGAGGCTGTCAGCTGCCTGGATCTCTGGAAAAAACAACAAATCCTCCATTTTCCCTTGAAGGAGAAAATGGTCATTTCTAAAGTACTGGAGCCCCTGTGAACAGCAAAGGTAGGAGGTAGGGGGCCTAATTCATCTTTGTTCTCTTGTCATCTTTCCCTCTTTGCTTTTGCTGCTGGGAAGCCCAGGCACCCTCAGATGTGAGTTTGTGGGAATTCTTACCATGACCTTTGGCTAGTATTTTAAACTGCTGTTGTATAGCTCTTTTGTAAGTCTTGCTGTAAATGACATGAGGTATATGAAAACAAAGCACCCAACTATGTGAGAACTCGTGGACGAAGAGGACGATTCTGGGGGCTGTAGAAGATTGGCAGGAAGCGATGGTGCAGGGATGAGGGAGGGCGGGTGCAGAGGCCTTGTGCACCCAGATAGGTAAGAACTCAGAAAACCATGAAGCACCCATTCACTCTCACCATGCACAGCACAGCCCTGGCCTCTGCACCCCTGCTCGCATCAGGCAGGCGTGGGGATCGTGCCTTGTGTGGAGGTGGTCCTGGGGCCAGACAGACCTGAGATCCCATCCTGTTCACCCTGTGCTGACCTAATTAGCCCCTTCTCCCTGGCCCTCAGTCTCAGGATGCAGGGGACTTCCCTGAAGTGGCACCCACGGAGATGAGGGTGCGCTTCCTGACTTGCACTCTGTACCTGCCATGAGACCAGCTCAACAGAGCCTGGAGACCTGCATGGGCCAGGGTCACAGCCGACCGGTGGCACAGGGGCAGGAGGGCAGCAGCGTCAGGGAGCCATGAACAGGTGGCTGGAACCAAGACTAACTTGACGAAGCACTGGGCCAAGCTTAGGGCAATGTGGGGAGGAGGGTCTCGTGGGAGCTGCAGCCAGGCAGGAGGTACAGCAAGCTCTCAGTTCAGGACCTGGGTTCTGGATCTGGCTCTGCCACCTCCTTGCTGGGTGCCCTCAGAGCCAGCTTTGCTGTCTTGGGATGGGGTGGGAGTCTCTGTCTACCCACCTCACGGGGCTTCTGTAAGGGTCTGGAACATTCCTGAGGCACCTAGAGGGATACTGTGCCCCCACCTCCACCACCGCCCTTACATCCACTGGCAGAAAACCAACAAAGAGGTGCCGTCTGGTCTGGCTGCTGAGATGCACTGTCTCTGAGTCTGTTTTCAGGGTCCTCACTCTAAGGCCTACAGCAGTGAGGGACAGGGCTGTGGGTGAAGCAGGAAGGCCACTGTAGGACCCCAGGTGGTGAAAGGCTCGGCTCCCAGTCACAAGCCAGGGAGCAGTGGAGTCAGGCCTGGAGCCGGGTCTCCCAGGACTCTCCCAGACCCACTATGGGGTCTACAAATTGCATGATGGACAGTGACTGTAGCCCCACACCCAAGGGACAGCCTTATAGACCCATAAACTCAAAATAGCCCAGACCTTCAACATCCTGGACTCAGTCTCACACATCATCAGGATGACGCGCATGAGATAAGGAGGTTTCTTTCCTTCCTCGAGGAGACCTTTCCCCCTGCCTCAACCTGCGGGGAGGAGACCTTCATCTGTCCAATGGGGGTGATTGCATTCCTCCCACCTGGAGAATTTTGCTGGGTGAGCAGAGACAGGGCAGCTTGTGGGCACAGCATCTGTCGGGCACCACTGTCTGTTTCACAGAGAGGACGTGGGCTCAGAGGGGCCAAGGGGCTTCTGCTGGAACCCAGGTTTTCCAACTCCTGATAGTGCGCCCCTGGCCACCACACTCTGCTGGCTTCCTTGGGCAGACCATGCCGCATCTCTAGGCCCCATTTCCACATCCCCAGGATAAGGAGGCACGCCTTGCCCTGCCCACCCTGCATGGTGCTGTGAGGGAGATGGGGAAGGGAAGGTGCTCAGAGGAGGGCTTGTTCAAGGAATGGCATCCCTGGAGCAGGCTGTGCAGCCAGCGCTCTGGAGCAGGGGCGGGCTGGGCTGGGGACCCTTTCCACCAAGCCAGGCTGGCCACCAGAGCTTGGGCTCTCCCTGTGGGGTGGGCGAGACTGCTGAGCCCCCAGGCAGGGTGCCCCAATGCAGAGCCTTGGGGAGCCTCCCACCCTTGGAGGTGCTGGTCCATCCTCTCCTGAGGCCACCTCAGGACACCCCCAGCTCGCTCCCACTGCTGTCAGTCCCACCCCCCTGGTAGGTGTCATTCGGCAGCAAATATCTGGGAGCAGCTGCTGATTCAGGGCCATTCCTGGCACAGTCGCTGGAGAGACCAACCCAGTGGGCAGGCATCTGAGTGGGCATGACTGAGGGAGCAGGCCATTTCCTGGGGGAGCGATGCTGCAGAGGTCTGAGGAGTGGTGGGAGTTAGCGGTCATGGGCCTGGGCACCAGGTGCCGGGGCAGATGCGGGAGGTGATCCACAAGACATATCTGTTGAGTGCTCCCTCGCCCCGCCTGCCACATCACCTCCTGATATTTCCTCAACAGCTGCCTTATCTCTGTGTCACAGGTGAGGACTGGTGTGCCCATCTTCCTCCTTTGGGGTGGGACAGCCTGCAATGTGCATAGAGCTCAGTGGGTGCTCCAGGTCAGCTGTGGCAGTTGGGTTGGGAGGGAGTGCTGGGGAGTGGCAGCTGGGGCCACTGATGCAGCTGTGGGCCAAGGAAACATCCCTTCCTACTGGGTTAAAGAATGTGTCCAGAAAGGGCAAATTCAGAGGTTCCTAGATTGGATCTCACTGGCCTCCATGGACAGCTGAAGCCTGAGCCATCCTTTCCACTGTAATGATGGCAGAACGACCATCCCCTGCTTCAAAACTGTGTGGTGCAACCACCTATGGACCTGGGAAGCTGAAAAGAATCCGGATGTCTTAGTAGACCACAAGCTTGAAGGGAAAACCTTAAAAGCAGTTATGTGATTCAGATTCTGAGGTAGCTTGGTAGAAAGTGCCAGTCACAGTTCTGCCAGACAAGACCAATTACCTCTCTGAGCTGGGTAGGATAGCAGAACGTGGCTTTCCTTCCTTCTGTGCCACGGCCAGGGACCGGCCCAGTGGTAGACAAGGGCCAGTGACAAACCTAAGGCCTAACACTGCAGGGAGGATGTGGCTGCAGAGAGCTCAGCCCCTGCCTTGATGAGCAATAGCAGCCACCTCAGCTCCAGGCGAGCTGCTGCTGGGGAGGCAGCGTGCACACCCGTGGCATCTGGCTTTGCTGCTCCCCAACTGGCATCCTGACCATGGGAGGCCAACCAGGGTGAGTGCTGGTTGCTGGGTGGGCTCTGAGGCGGCTATGGTTCCCACATCCCCATGGAGGCCAAAGCGGGCAGTGAGCATGTTTGTTACCATCCCAGCAGAGGGGGAAGCTAGACAGCCCCCAGGGCCTTCTTCACTGCAGGTGTCAACAGAAACAGACTCTGCAAAATATTTGAAAATATTTATTCTGAGCCAAATATGAGTGACTACGGCCATGACATAGCTCTTGGGAGGCCCTGAGAACATGTGCCCAAGGTGGTCGGGGTGCAGCTTGGTTTTATACATTTTAGGGAGGCATGAGGCAGCAATCAAATACATTTAAGAAATACATTGGTTTGGTTCAGAAAGGCAGGACAACTCAAAAGCAAGGTGGGGAGGGGCCTTCCGGGCTATGGGTTAAACATTTTCTGGTTGGCACTTGGTTGAGTCATCTAAAGACCTGGGATCAATAGAAAGGAAATGTTCAGGTTAAGATAAAAGATTGTGGAGACCAAGGTTCTTTTTCAGTCTTATAGTGGCTCCCCTTAGAGACAATAGATGACAGATGTTTCCTAATCAGAACTTCAAAAAGGTGCTAAAACTCAATCTCTTCAGGATTGGCAGAGCCTGGAAGAAAACGATCTATGTGAATAGGGATTCTTTACAGATACACGTTTTCCCACACAAAGGACAGCTTTGCAGGGCCACTTCAAAATATGGCCAAGAAGCATGTTTTGGGATAAAATACTTTGTCTTCCTTGACTCGTAATGTTATGCCAGTCAGGTTGGAAAGTAAGTCACGATATATAGGGTTAAATAAAACCCATCTGATGAGAATTTATGGTTTTTAGGGCATGACTCCCCAGACGCCTTACATAGGAATTTGGGCAAGATAAAAAATATCAGAGCTTAGTCCTCACAGGGAATGGCGGGGGGGTGGGGGGAGCAGATGTGTTATAGGAAAGGGGTCCTGATCCAGACCCCACAAGAGGGTTCTTGGATCTCGCACAAGAAAGAATCAGGGCGAGTCTGCAGTGCAAAGTGAGAGTTTGTTAAGAAAGTAAAGGAACAAAAGAATGGCTACTCCATAGACACAGCAGCCCCTAGGGCTGCTTGTTGCCTATTTTTATGGTTATTTCTTGATGATGTGCTAAACAAGGGGTAGAGTATTCATGCCCCCCTTTTTAGACCATAGAGGGTAACTTCCTGATGTTGCCATGGCATTCGTAAACTGTCATGGCGCTGGTGGGAGTGTAGCAGTGAGGACAACCAGAGGCCACTCTCGTCACCATTTTGGTTTTGATGGGTTTTGGCTGGCTCCTTTACTGCAACTTGTTTTAGCAGCAAGGTCTTTATGACCTGTATTTTGTATCTCATCCTGTGACTTAGAATGCCTTAGTGTCTGGGAATGCAGCCCAGTAGGTTTCAGCCTCATCTTACCCAGCTCCTGTTGAAGATGGAGTTGCTCTGGTTCACATGCCTCTGACAGATGGACCCCTGCCGGAGGCCAGGGTCTCATACCGCCACTCCTCCCTCCCCAGGCCTGCAGGGACTTCCTGGAACTAGCAGAGATACACAGCCGGAAATGGCAGCGGGCACTGCAGTATGAGCAGGAGCAGCGCGTGCACTTGGAGGAAACCATTGAGCAGCTGGCCAAGCAGCACAACAGCCTCGAGCGGGCCTTCCGCAGCGCCCCCGGCCGGCCGGCCAACCCCTCTAAGAGCTTCATTGAGGGTCAGTGCCTGGGCGGCCAGGGCAGGGCTGTCCCGTGACCTTCTGCCAGCTGGCTCTGCATATACAACTTCTGCTCCCCCACATGCATATCCCTGGCTGTGTCTATGTGTGGGCTGGGCTTGGCCAACTCTGGACTGCCTTTTTGTGCTTTGTATCTCCCGTGCCCATCACCCACTGGCAACAGTTTCTCTGCACCTAGGTTCACATTCTCAAGAGTTAAGTTTAATGAGCCCAGCTGTCCCTTGTGTGACAGGGGTGTCCTGGTGCCAGGTGGCCACCCACCTAGCCTTGGGTTGGGGGTCATGGGGATCGTGGACAGGGGTCCAACAGAAAGGGAAGCTGGGCCACAGAAAGACTGACCCACATGCTGGGAGATCGGGGGCGGGGGGGTGGGGGCTTCCAGAAAGAGGCCCCTGTGCAATGAATGTGTTGAAAGCACATGATTCTAGCAGAGGGAGCAAGGGTGGCTGCGGCCCAGGGCTGCCCAGGTGACTAAAGCAGGAGGAGAGTGAGGCCAGATGGGGGTTGAGGGAGCCCTTGGCTCTGGACTTAGGGAGGCAAGATGAGCCTTTTGTGAAGTTACAAACTAAAGCTCTGCCTATGTCTCTAGGAAGCCTCTTGACTCCCAAAGGAGAGGACAGTGAGGAAGATGAAGATACCGAGTACTTTGATGCCATGGAAGACTCCACATCCTTCATCACCGTGATCACTGAGGCCAAGGAAGACAGGTAAGGTGGCTGCATCTGGGCAGAGCCTCCCCCACCCTGGTCTTAGGCTGCATCTGGTCTTTTCACCAGCTATCTACTTGTTTACTTGGGGTTTTCTTTCCTTTAAATCTTGCTTTGGCCAGGCCCACTGGCTCCCAGCACTTTGGGAGGCCAAGGGTAAAAGGATTGCTTGAATACAAGAGTTCGAGACCAGCCTGGGCAACATGGCAAAACCCTTTCTCTACAAAAAATACAAAAACTAGCCAGGGGTGGTGGTACAGGCCTGCAGTCCTAGCTACTTGGGAGACTGAGGTGGGAGGGTCGCTTGAGCCCAGGGAGGTCGAGGCTACAGTGAGCCATGGTCATGCTACTGCACTCTATCCTAGGCAACAGAGAGACCCTGTCTCAAAAAATCAATAATCTGTCTTGCTCCAGATGGGATTTCATTGTTGTGTGAGCCTCATTTACACAAACCTAGCTGATAGGGCCTCCACACACCTGGGCTATATGGCACAGCCTATTGCTCCTGGGCTACAAACCTGTACAACATGCGACTGTACTGAATATTGTAGGCAATTGTGACACAGTGGTTAAGGATTTGTGTATCTAAACATAGAAAAGGTATATTAAAAATATAGTATGATAGTCTTATGGGACCACTGTCATATACACTATCCGCCAATGAAATGTTGTTATGCGGTGTCTGTCTATACACAGAACAGACGGCAGTGACCAGGACATTTACTAGCAATGAAAACGATGCTGTCTAGAGAGAGGATGGGCCAGGTCCCAAGGAGGCCTCGGGATTCATCAGTAACTTGCCTCCCGCTTTGTGTTTCCTGCAGAAAAACTGAAGGTAGTACGGGGACAAGTTCTGTGGACTGGAGCTCAGCAGACAATGTAAGTGAGAGGGAGCACTGTAAGGGCCGGCAGGCAGGCCCATGCCCCAGTCCAGGAGCGCCACCCTGCCCTTCACGAGCAGTGTGCCAGTTCTCAGGGTGGAGGGCAGATACCTGGAAGCTGAGGGGGCGCTCTGGCCTCTGCTGACGGGGGTGTCCCCACTTCTGTGGCAGGTACTAGATGGTGCCTCGCTCGTGCCCAAGGGTTCATCCAAAGTCAAGAGGCGAGTCCGCATCCCCAACAAGCCCAACTACAGCCTTAACCTCTGGAGCATCATGAAGAACTGCATCGGTCGGGAGCTCTCCAGGATCCCCATGCCGGTGGGTGGCTCGGGCAGGGCAGCCCCGGCAGGTCCTCTGGGGCTGCTTTCCTGTGCATGGATGAGAAGTAATGGCCTGTGTGAAGTACACACAGCCTTGGAGTGTCATTTTCTTAATGGCACCTGAGGAGCATGTAACTAATTATCTAATCGTGTACATAGGCATTCCCCAATCTTCCAAAGTACAGGGATCTTTGGGCTCTGACAGAAGGAGCCAGGGAGAAGCTCTGCATGGATCAGCAACCTAGGGAGCCCCAGAGCACCTCTGGATCTCACGGGGCCTTACCATGTCCTGGCTGTCCCGATCTGTAGATGGGAAGTGGCAGGATGGGGCTGTGTGTGGAGGGGTGGGCCCTCCTTCAGCTGGCAGCCATCCCTGGTGCCATCCCCAGGAAATGCAGACTCGGTGTGGTCACACAGTGGGCTGAGGGCAGAACTTGGATCTTCATGCCACCTGGCTACGGTGGCATCCCACCAGGCCAGACGGTTCTACTGTGTGACCCAGAACGAGTTCCTTCACATCTCCAGCCTCTGTGTCCACATCTGTGGAGTGGGGAGAATCACAACACCCCCTTCACAGTGTCCGGGAGGATGGAGCAAGATAACACAAGGAAGCTGAGACTCGTACCCGATGGCATCATGGTGGGGAGAGTGACCCTGCCCTATGTGACACTGAGACAGGGGCCCTGGGCCTAACCCATCCTGTGCCAGGTCCCATCACAGCTCAGAACATGGGGAAGACCCACTTCCTCCACCCACAGACTCATGTGCTCATTCACTCATTCTCTCACTGCTTCCTAAGATTCGGCACTGAAGATACAGCAGTGGGCCAGGCAGAACCCCTGGCCTTGGCGGGTGTCCATCTGAGCAGAGGAGAGCGACAGCAAACATGATAAAAGTGTGTAGGATGCAGCAGACCAGAAAGTGGGGAGGGCTATGAAGAAAACAGGCAGAAGGGACCAGGGAGGTGATGGCTTGGGGGCCGCAGTGTTGGGACAGGGCCATCAGAGGAGCCTCACTGTGAAGGTGCCGCCTGAGCAGGGATGTCCCTGAACATTTGAGAAAAGCAAGGGCACCATGCCAAGCCGGGGCTGGTGCCCAACCTGACTGCCCACCCACAGGTGAACTTCAACGAGCCCCTGTCCATGCTCCAGCGGCTGACAGAGGACCTGGAGTACCACCACCTGCTGGACAAGGCGGTGCACTGCACCAGCTCAGTGGAGCAGATGTGCCTGGTGGCTGCCTTCTCTGTGTCCTCCTACTCCACCACGGTGCACCGCATCGCCAAGCCCTTCAACCCCATGCTGGGGGAGACCTTTGAGCTGGACCGCCTCGATGACATGGGCCTGCGCTCCCTCTGTGAGCAGGTGAGCGGGCTAGGCTGGCGCTGGGTGGTGCCCGCCCACACTCTGGCCAAGCTGTTCCTGCCAGGCCCAAGGTGACAAATGGGATGCAGCCTCTGACCCCCACTGCCCATACCCAGGGGGCCATCAAACTGAGGTCCAGCCAGGAAGCACGGCCTCCCATGGCAGGGGCAGCACAGGGCCTCCTGGAGACGGTGAGAGGCATGAGAACACAGCATGGTGAGGACAGGGTCAGGCCTGGTTGCAGAGACCGGGAGGATAAGCTCCAGGCCAGGATGCTGTGGAGCAGAGGTGGAGGGGCATCTGTGGGCACTGCTGGGGAGGAGCATGGGGTCACCACCGAGCTGAAGGCAGCTGGCAGGAGGAGCCTGGGTGCAGTGGGATGGACTCTGCCCCAGCCAGTGACAGCAGCCTGTCCCCGCCATCCCTTCCCCAGGGAGACATGCCAAGACCCAGGCTCAGGAGCCTCAGTGGCAGCCCCATGCTGAACCTGGGCGTCCTGGTTGAAAACGAGGGGATTCCGTTGGTGCCAGCATTGCCCTGGCTCCTGGCATGAGCATGGGACGCTGGCCATTCAGATCCTGGTGCTAGTTGAAGAGGCTGCAGCTGCGGCAAGGCCCTGTTAGGAGGTGACTGCAGTGACCCACACAGGGGTGCAGTGGCCAGACCTGGGTGAAGGGGGAGGCCAGAACACTGGCAGCTTTTGAAGGATGAGCCAGCTGGTTTGCCGACGCTTTGGATATGGGGGTGGGGGGCAGTCAGGGTGATCCCAGGTCCTTGGCCTGAACCCTGGAGTGAATGTATTTCTCCATTCAGCAGACGTTAGATGCCCTCAACATGCCAGGTGCTGCTCAGGCATGGAGGTTTCAGCTAGGAAGTGAACAGACACGGCTCCAGTTCTCATGGGGCTGGGAAAGCAGGGCGGATACTGTGGCTGCTTCCAGCTCTTTTGGGTGGTCAAGGAGCAGCTTTGCTGATGCAGAGAGAGTGAAGGGAGGAAACAAAAGGAGGGTGGAGAAGCAGCAGCTGAAGGGGTGGTACACCTGGGGTGGGGCCTGCCTCCTGACCTGCCAGAGGAGCCCTCTCCCGTAATGGAGGGAGTGGCCCACAGGGAGGCCGGGGAGGTGGAGGTGGGAGTGGAGGGGGCAGATACTGGATGCATTTTGAAGGAAGGGCAGGCAGGCTTTGCTCAGGGTTAGAGGAGAAGCATTAGGAGAGCCATAGAGGCTGCCGAGCGTTTAGTGTGAGTGGTTGGAAGGGCAGGATGCTGAAGTGTAGGTGAGGAGGAGGAAGAGCTTCCCACGGGCTCTTGGGGAGGCATCAGCTGAGTTCAGGGCCAGCTCACCATCTCCCAGGGTGGTCTGCAGCTGGGCCTGCACTCCTGGGGCATAGGAAGCAAGTAGGCACCTTTTTCGGAGACAGGAAGTTAGGCGAGGCACACTAGGGGCAGCGGGAGCCCGGCTCTGCCCTGGTCGGGCTCTGCCTGTCTGAGGGGAGGTGTTCAGGGGCAGCTGGAGGCGAGGGGCAGGGCTAGGCTAGGGCTGCTGTCCTGGGGAGTGAGTAGACTCAGGAGAGGGAAGCCTGGGTCCCACGGCCAGAAGAGCATGGAATAAGGAAGAACAGACAAGGGAGGTTTGGTGGCACTGCCAGTAAGGCAGGGGAGGGCTGGGCCGGGGGCAGTGCACTGATGTGGATGCCTGCTCTGGAGCCAAGCTGGCCAGGGGCAGGGCCCAACTGCCCCTTGGCTAAAATCACACTGCCAGTCTGGGCCCCCTTGGTATAACACAGCACAGCAGCCGCACCTGGCATGTGGGGAGGATTAGATGAGAAGTGGACATGGAACCCTCGGCACAGTGTGACACCCTTTGTTTTATCAGTCTTCAGTGCACCTGTCACAGGCACATCTTTGAGGCATGATTTCACAGCCCAGGAGCCAGGCACTGAGAGGCTCAGGACCGCACCCGGATGCTTTTCTGCTCAAGGCAGTGCCTTCCTGGGAGCCTGCCTTGGGTCCATGGCCACCTGAGGAACAGCCAGGACTGCTCCTATGGCCACAGAGCTGTGCCTGCTGAGACAGCGCAAGCTGTCCCTCCCTGGCTGGGGGAGGTGGAACCTGGGCTCATGTCTGGCAGATGCTCACGTCCTGTGGGTCTGGTCTCAGGTGAGCCACCACCCCCCCTCAGCTGCGCACTACGTGTTCTCCAAGCATGGCTGGAGCCTCTGGCAGGAGATCACCATCTCCAGCAAGTTCCGGGGAAAATACATCTCCATCATGCCGCTAGGTGAGCTGGGGCCCGGTGCCTTCCTGGGACAGAGACATTCTGCCTAAGAGGGAGGATTCTGGTGATGCAAAAGCCAGCTGGGGGCTTCCAAGGGAGGCCTCCCTGTAGGCCTGCCTCTCCAACCCCCAGCCTGGTTCTCAAGACACCAGGCCTAAGGGCAGACTGGCCAGAGCCCTGCATGGGGGGCATGACCTCTGACCTGTCCCCCGCCTCCAGGTGCCATCCACTTAGAATTCCAGGCCAGTGGGAACCACTATGTGTGGAGGAAGAGCACCTCAACTGTGCACAACATCATCGTGGGCAAGCTCTGGATCGACCAGGTCAGGGTGCCCTTGGGGAGGGGGTGCATGGCCTGGGGGCTGGCCACTGACCACTGCCCTCCTTCGCCAGTCAGGGGACATCGAGATTGTGAACCATAAGACCAATGACCGGTGCCAGCTGAAGTTCCTGCCCTACAGCTACTTCTCCAAAGAGGCAGCCCGGAAGGTAAGCAGGACCAGCCACCTCTGAGCACCCCAGGGGGCCCAGGGCAGAGTGTGCACCTACGCTGGTCCTGCCAATGTCCACAGGTGACAGGAGTGGTGAGTGACAGCCAGGGCAAGGCCCACTATGTGCTGTCCGGCTCGTGGGATGAACAAATGGAGTGCTCCAAGGTTGTGCATAGCAGTCCCAGCAGCCCCAGCTCCGACGGGAAGCAGAAGACAGTGTACCAGACCCTATCAGCCAAGCTGCTGTGGAAGAAGTACCCGCTGCCGTGAGTAGGGCTGGCAGGGGCCCCGCCACAGGCGTAGGACAGGGGTCAAAGGAGAGGGAAGGAGGACAGTGGACAGAAAGCAACTGACAGGCACAGGAAGTCGGGAGGGTTCAGTCCACACGTGGGCAGAGAACAATATTATGCAGCCGACATCCCAGTGTGAAGGCAGATACCCAACAGTAAATAAATGTGAAACTATCAAACACTATGCACAGACTTTAAGTGAGGTGATAGGACAGAGCCCCTCCCTGTTACTCCCTACAAGAAATAAAAAACATACTTGAAAATAACCATAGGAAATAGAAAACTATAAAATGTGGCATAGGAAAGTCCAAATAAAACAAATAGAAATTTGACACAGAAAAAAAAAAATAACTGAAATTGAGAACCCTATGGAATGGTTTAGTAGCTAGAATCTATCACCTGAACACAGGTCAGAAGACGCAATAGAACTGAATTTAAAGAGACAAAACCCAGAAAAGACAAGCAGCTACAGGCAGAAGACAGAGTGAGGTCCCTGGAGCAGGCTCCCTGGTCTCCACTGGGAGCTAGTTTGAGTGCAGAGTCTCCCGTCAGACCTCCTGCAATGGAATCTACATTTCTGTAAGCTTGCTCAGCAAGATTGAGAGCAGGGTTTGGCATACTTCTAGCAAGAGTCCCAAAAGGAAAGAGGGACTGTACCTGAAGATAAAATAACAAAGAACTTCCTGCACCTAAATCTATGCAGTGAAACTAAATCAGAGGAAACTATTAAGCAGCCAGATTTTAAAAAGACATCACTTTCCAAGGAGCTGTCCCCTTATCAACAGAAATGGGAGCTTGAAGACAGTCAAGCAATATCTTCCGTGAGCTGAAAGATGCACTGCCAGCCTAGAATTATACACCCAGGGGGACCATCTTTAAAGGATGAAGGTGAAATCAAGGCATTTTCAGGCAAACAAAAAGCTTAGTTTGGCACCAGCAGACCTACATGAAAGGATATACCTCAGGCAGGAGGAAACTGACCCCAGAGGGAAGATCTGAGACATACGAATGAATAACAGATACTGTGCACCTACATAAATGCTGAACAAACAAGAATAATGTGGGGTATAACATTTTAGAATGCGGCTGCACAGTAAGAAGAGGAATGAAGGGAGGGAAACTGCTCAAAGGCCCCCATGCTGCCCTGGAAGAGGATCAAGATGCACATTTGCTTGACTGTATGAAGTATGTTTAATTGCTATTCCTAGGGTAACCGCTAAAATAATCCATTTAGCTGGAATCCCAGAAGAAGAAGAAGAAAACAACGAAGAGGGAGATATAATGAAGATAAACTTCCCAGAGTAAAAGTAAAGGGATGAAAGACCCTGTACTGAAGTGTGCTCAAGACCAGATATAAAGAAAAATGTTCATCTAGATCATGCGATAGTCAAAATGAAGACCGAAGAAAAATATTCTAATAGCTTCTAGAGAGGAGCAAAAGATTTTAGTCAAGGATAAAGAATCAGACTGACATCAGATTTTTCAACAACCAACATTGGATTAGTATTTTCTAAGTTACAAAATTAGAAAGCAGAATTTTCTATTTAGTCAAAGTATCATTCACATATGGGGCCCTATCCTTTGGCATACAGCCTCAGAAGTTTTACCACACGAAAACCCACAATGAAAACAGTATTGGGCTGGGTGCGGTGGCTCATGCCTGTAATCCCAACACTTTGGGAGACCGAGGCAAGCGGATCACTTGAGGTTAGGAGTTCAAGACTACCCTGGCCAACATGGTAAAACCCTATCTCTACTAAAAATACAAAAATTAGCCAGGCATGGTGGTGGGCACCTATAATCCCAGCTACTCGAGAGGCTGAGGCATGAGAATCACTTGAATCTGGGAGGCAGAAGTTGCAGTGAGCTGAGATCGTGCCACTGCACTCTAGCCTGGGAGAAGAAAAAAAAAAAAAAAAACACTGGACATAGTACTTAAAAGGGGGAATGGAGGAAGCAAGGATGTCACAATAGATGAATAAAGGGGTTTTGTTTGCTTTTTCATTGTTTTTTGTTTTGAGATAGAGTCTCATTCTGTCACCCAGGCTAGAGTGCAGTGGCATGATCTTGGCTCACTGCAACCTCTGTCTCCCAGGTTCAAGCAATTCTCTTGCCTCAGTCTCCCGAGTAGCTGAGAGTACAGGGGCATGCTGCTACACCTGGCTAATTTTTGTATTTTTAGTAAAGACGGGGGTTTCACCATGTTGGCCAGGCTGGTCTTGAACTCTCGACCTCAAGTGATCGGCACACCTCAGCCTCCCAAAGTGCTAGGACTACAGGTGTGAGCCACCACACCCAGCCTAAAAGTTATTTTTAAAATAATTGCTAGGATCAAAGAAAAAGAGAAAATATGTCCATAATAATGAAGATTTAAAAGTTTAGATAATGTTAGCATGATGGAATTTGAGGAGAAGGGGAAGAACCTCAGGGATGTGAAGAAATGCTAAGTTCTTATTGGAAGGAAGAAACATTTATAAGATTGTTAAAATAGTAAGAGAAAATTATAATGAAGCATTATTAAGGAAGGGAAAGTTGCTATAATAAAGGTTGAGTTCATCAAAAAGATATAATAGTTTTAAACATTATGCATATAATTAAATGCCTCAAAAATATACAAAGCACATATTGATACTTAAGGAAGAAATTGATAAATCCATCACCACAGTGGGAAATTGGGAGGTCAAATGGAAACAACTGAAAACAATCCAGCAAGTATATGGAAATTGAAACAATATAGGCTATACAGACTCATGGATGAAACTCTGAGAATGTATTTTTTTCTCAAGTATACATGGAATGTATGCAAAAATTGATTGTGTACTAAACCCTAATGGAAGCCTCACAGATTTACAGAGAGTAGCATACAGACCACAATCGATAAGACAATTAAAATAGAAGTTACAAACAAACTGATCAAAAAATCCCAAATATTTGGGAAAAAAAATTAAGTTGCTAAATAACAGGCAAAATAAATTAGAATGAAAAAATGCAAAATATGTAGAACTGAATGATATAAAAGATATTTGGCCGGGCGTGGTGACTCATGCCTATAATCCCTGTACTTTGGGAAGCCGAGGCGGTTGGGGGTGGGGATCACTTGAGGTCAGGAGTTCAAGACCAGCCTGGCAAACGTGGTGAAACCCTATTTCTACTAAAAATACAAAAATTAGCCAGGCATGGTGGCATGCGCTTATAATCCCAGCTGCTTAGGAGGCTGAGGTGGGAGAATCGCTTGAACCTGGGAGGCAAAGGTAGCAGTGAGCTGAGATCATGCCATTGTACTCTAGGCTGGGCGACAGAGTAAGACTCCATCTCGGGGGGGAAAAAAAAAAAAGACAAAAGATATTTAAACTGACTGGATGCAACAAAGGCAATGCTTCAAAGGAAATATATTGCCTTAAATCATTTAAATAATGTTGAGGCTTTCTCCTTTCTGAGTTTCAATTCTAATATTAGAGAAAGTTCAACATAGAAATCCAAAGAAAGAAGAAAAAATACTTTAAAAATAAGAGCAAGAGCAAAAGCCTGTGCAACATAGTAAGACCTCATTGCTACAAAAACAAAAAAAAATGTTTTTTCTTAATTTGCCAGGCATGATGATACATGCCTGTAGTCCCAGATACTCAGGAGGACTGAGGTGGGAGGATCACTTGAGCCCATGAGGTCGAGGCTGCAGTGAGTTGTGAACACACCACTGCACTCCAGCCTGTGTGACAGAGCAAGACCCTGTCTCAAAAAATAATAATTTTTGGCCGGGTGCAGTGGCTCACGCCTGTAATCCCAGCACTTTAAGAGGCCGAGACGGGCGGATCACCTGAGGTCAGGAGTTTGAGACCAGCCTGACCAACATGGAGAAACCCCGTCTCTACTAAAAATACAAAATTAGCTGTGCATGGTGACGCATGCCTGTAATCCCAGCTACTCGGGAGGCTAAGGCAGGGGAATTACCTGAACCTGGGAGGCGGAGGTTGCAGTGAGCCGAGATCACACCATTGCACTCCAGCCTGGGCAACAAGAGCAAAACTCTTGTCTCAAAAAATAATAATAATAATAATTTTGGCTAGACATGGTGATTCATGCCTATAATCTCCCGTATTATTCCATTTTCACACTGCTCTAAAGATACCACCAGAGATTGGGTAATTTATAAGGAAGAAAAGGTTTAATTAACTCACAGTTCTGCCTGACTGGGGAGGCCTCAGTAAACTCAATCATGGCGTAAGGCGAAGGAAAAGCAAGTACCTTCTTCACAAGGCAGCAAGAAAAGAGCAGAGTAGGAGAAATGGCCACTTACAAAACCATCAGCTCTAGTGAGAACTCACTCATTATCAGAAGAATAGCATGAGAGAAACCACCCCCATGGTCCAATCACCTCCCACCTGGTCCCTCCCCTGACATGTGGGGATTACAATTTGAGATGAGATTTGGGTGGGAACACAGCCAAACCCTATCATCCCAGCACTTTGGAAGGCTGCCGTGGGAATATTGCTTGAGTTCAAGAATTTGAGACCAGCCTGGGCAATATGGCAAGATACCATCTTTATATTAATAATAATAAAAGCAGAAATCAATAAAGTCAAAAGTTGATTCTTTGAGGCACAAAAAAACTGTTAAAATAGAAAACTACTGACAAGACTGAGCAAGACAGAAATAAATATTAATGAAAAAGGTTTAATGTGACATATAAAGTATAAAGACATAATTAAAACTTAGATCGGAGGGACAAATCTTAGAAAAATATAACAAGAACTAACTCCAGCTGGGCACAGTGGCTCATGCCTATAATCCCAGCACTTTGGAAAGCAAAGGCAGTTGGATCGCTTAAGCCCATGAGTTCAAGACCAACCTGGGCAACAGCAAGACCCTGTCTCTACAAAAAAAAAAATTTTTTTTAATTAGCCATGTGTGGTGGTACATATCTGTAGTCCCAGCTACTCAGGAGGCTGAGGCAGGAGAGTTACTTGAGCCCAGGAGGT